CAAAAGAAATTGACAGGTTGTGTGTAGTCATGTTATATAAATTATAAAGCAACCTTTCTGCATTAGGTTGAGGGAATGCGCAGCACATGGCACATGATCCGCGGATTTATTATTTTTTTTTAGTAGTGCTTGTACACCATTGTAGTGACTAGGACTGGGCGATATTAGAAATTATATATCGTGATGCATCGTCAGTTTTGCATCGCGATATAGTATTTTTGAATTTCCTTTACTTGTAAGGCACAGAAAGTCAGATTTCTATGAAGACTCCATACTCAGATTGATTTAAATCAATTTATAAATTTGAAGATATATATGTTTTGCTTAAGAAAGATATTAAATAAATTGACTACAATGTACAAATCTTACTTAAAATATTTATGGAAATGTTTGTTTAGAAATTCAAAATACGCTTAAAACAAAGTGTTAAAAACTTTTTTTTAAAGCGTTTTTTACAAATTAATATTTTCTTGTACTATTATGCATAAATAATTACATAATTATTAAGTTCGATCGTAATGTTCAATTTCTAAATNAGATTATAATGCTATAAAAGTATTTTAAAAACTTATTAATAACATCCATCGTTAGGAGGGTAGCTTAAAGACCAAAACTCTCATTTGTTAATAAATAAATAAATGAAAACAATTTATTTTACTACATAGACGACCAAGTATATAAAAAATAACATTCGAAATAATTTTCATTTTAGGCTATATACCTTAATTATGTTATTAATCAGAGTCAAATTTTAATTTTTAAACTTTTAAAATAGAGTTAAAATTACTAGATTGCTAGTTTTTTTATGTATTTATTTGAAATTTAATTATTTTCGGCCATTTACAATTCTTCCAAAGGGAAATATTTAAAATCGTTTCTAAATTTCTTTTAATTTCTTTGAAAAATTCGTTGTGGTTTAGAAATGTTTCTGCAAACTTCGAGTGTCTGATTTGTAATCATACTAGCGAAAACCTTGTCACATAAGTTGGAGTTGAAATTATTGTATTTATTTAATGGGAATTTTAAATCGTTTCAATTGTCAAAAATTTTAAAGGAAAATTTTCTTCCACTTATTTATTCTATTGTTCCTCAAATAATTCCAATTATTTAATTTTAAACTTTTTCCACTTTCCTTCGAAAATCCAGCTTAATCGAAAGAAATTCTTTTTTTTAAATTTATATACATATATATCTATAGTATACCTATATTTTTCACAGAATAAATATCTCCCAATAAATTCCTTATTTTATTCAATATTCTAGTAAGGCACACATTTAATCTTTAATTCAAATATTTCCCTTTCCTGGGGAAAATACTTTTCTTTTTTTTAAAAAAATTCGGTATTTTTGAATGATTGCTGAACTCCCTAAAGAAAAAGTTTTTCCCTAAGAAGGTCATGCTGTGTCCCACTTGGCATTTTTCCTATATTTGATCTACACAGATTTGAACTTAGTGTCATTTCGCTTTGACAAAGAGTTTTTTACATATTTTCTCCTTAACTAGCTAGTATATAAATTGTCATCACCAGAATAAGACAATTCATCAATCTTATTGCTATAAAGATTACGATTAAGAACAAAATTGTCTTATAATGGTAAATAAAAGAATAAATTTTACATATTTTATTAAGTCTGTGACTTTCTTTGATGAATTATTCATTTTTTACAATAGTTTTATCTTTTGTTTACTAAATAATAGAATTTAATGATGTCCAAAAACAGATTTATATTTAACGAAAATTTTAATGATTATTCTTATTATAATATTTTGGTAATGATAATGAGGTTTAAAATATACAATGTAGCATTAATGGATATTTTAATATCGTTAACGGTTATAACTATTTTGCTGGTTGAAGGGTTTTGTGAAGTTAATGCAACTGTTTCGTCAACAAAAGACTGTGAGGTTACGGTAGACCAAGAGTTTACTAAACTATCTGTTAATTATAACGAAGTCTTTGTGGCAATGCACTGTTAAAAAGTAAAAAGAATACAGAATACGTAAAAAAGAATATTATTTTTTAAATATTTAATTCATTATGTAGCGCATACTTAAAATATTGTAAATAAAGGTTTTAGTAATACTTATTGATGATGATTTTATTGCGATGATTTTATTTTTTACTTCTAATGGTTTGATTTTGTAAATCATTGATTTTGTCTTGTATCGAAAAACATCAATATGATTAAGTTTTATCTGTCCTAATTAGAAATTAAAATTTGAACTGGTGTGCTCGATGAGCGAGTCGCTGTGGTATGTGATTCCTAGTCCTGCTTATAATTTAAATGAATCCTAATTGAAAGTTAAAATTTGAATGATTAATGTACTCGATGAACGAGTCGTTGAAGTATATGATTCCAAATCCTGATTAAGATTTAAATCAGCCCTAGTAGAAAGTTAAAAAATTTAAAACTGGTGTACTCGATGAACGAGTCGTTGAAGTATATGATTCCAAATCCTGATTAAGATTTAAATGAGCCCTAGCTGAAAGTTAAAAATTTTAAAACTGGTGTACTCGATGAATGAGTCGTTGAAGTATATGATTCCAAAACCTGATTAAGATTTAAATGAGTCCTAGTTGAAAGTTAAAAATATTGAAACGGGTGTACTCGAGGAACGAGTCGTTCAAGTGCATGAGTCTAAATTCTGATTAAGATTTAAATGAGTCCTAGTTGAAAGTTAAAAATTTTAAAACTGGTGTGCTCGATGAACGAGTCGTTGAAATATATGATTCCAAATCCTGATTAAGATTTAAATGAGCCCTAGCTGAAAGTTAAAAATTTTAAAACTGGTGCACTCGATGAACGAGTCGTAGTATATGATTCAAAGTCCTGCTTATTTAAATAAGTCTCAAAATTGGTGTGCTCTATAAGAAAATCGCAGTAGTATGGTTCCAAGTCCTGATTAAGATTTCAATAGTCCTCGTGGAAAGTTAAATTCTAAAAGAATGGTGGAAATGGTTAAAATCTAAAAGAATAGAATACTCGAAGAGAGTATCGTAGTAGCATATGATTACAAGTCATGCTATGATTTAAATAAGTCATACTGGTAAACTCTATAAGAATTGCAGTAGTATAGTTCCAAGTCCTGATTAAGATTTAAATAAGTCCTAGTTGAAAGACTGGTCGTCTGGGTGGTTAGGTCTTCATTAAATCTAGGTCATCTAGGTGCACTAGATGAACGAGTTGCAGTAGTATATAATTCTAAGTCCTGATTAAAATTTAAACAAATCCTGATTGAAAGTTAAAATTTAAAAGACTGTTGTTTATCTTTGCTTATAAAAGACCTTTGTTTTATCTTCATTTGAAAATCTAAAACACTGGTGTACTTGATGAATTCGTCGTAGTAGTATTATGATTTCAAGTTCTGATTAAAATTTTAATAATTTCTAGTTAAAAATTTAAATTTAAAAGATTTGTGAATCCCAGCAGAGAGTTGTTGCAGAATATAATTACAAGTAATTTATTTTGTATAATTTAGGTTGTGATTAATTGTTCTTATAAAATTATATGACAAATAAAGTTTCATTACATATTTAAAGTTTAAGAATGATATTTGAAATAAAAATTATATCGTAGTGCTTTGTTTCTGGACTGCATATATGTTTACGTTATATGCGTGATATGTGTTATATATAGGTTTTGTGAAGTGTGACACTTAATAAGATTGAGTAGAGGATGTCAGATATAAGGTGACATTATTTATGAATAACCCTTATGGAATTTTTTACAGCATTTGCAAATTATGACGATGTCTCTGCTACTATAAACTGTTAAAATAGAGATATATTTAGAAAATGTTAAAGAAAGAATGTTATTTTTTAAAATAAAAATTAAAACATATAACATACAACGGATGTTTTTGATTATTTTGTTTTAATTTTTATTAGTAGCTCAATTTCCATTATGTAGTTTTTGAAAAGTGCAACACATTCATTGAAAATAGTTTACTTTTGCAATTCCTTAAAACACCAATGATTTTCGTCTCTTTTTTTTTATATTTGAATGAGTCAAAAAATATATTTGAAGTTATTGATTACAGTAATTCAAATTACTGTAATCAATACAGTTATTCAAATTTCATTGAATCGATTATTTTTTTTTCTTGCGCAGAAAATAATTCGTTATACTAGTTTTAAATCACACGCTAGGACCATGAAATACTTCCAGAATATCTAAGAGAAATCTTTCCATCATATTATATTTTCATCCTATTATAAATCTAACTTATCAAACATTTTAACTATGCACTTTAGTTAGCGTTAATAAACAGACAGTCAGAAAAAATATTAGCTTTGTTGTGATTAAAAATATTCTTTACTCCAGTTTGCTAAATCACAGATTAAGGCCATAAAATGCTTCAAGATCTTCAGACAATGGACACTCAAGTGTAGTTTATCTATCGTGTTATTATGATTTTATGCAAATATAAATCTAAATGCTCAAGTATCCTCATTGTGCATTTTTAGTTAGTTCTTCAAAACGTTACTGACCAGTAACTTTGAAAAATAGTAGCTTTGTTGTAGTTGAAGATATTCTACATACATACTCACTATGCATTTTTATTTAGTTCTGCAAAATGTTCATAAACAGCAACTCTGCCAAAATGCTAGTTTAGCTGTTTTGCACATTTTACACTGACATATAAAGATTTCTGCTCTTTTATGTTACGTTTTTTTGTATGCTACTATTAAGATTTTACATGCGGTTTCGTTTACTGTTACTGTTACAAATACAAGCAACATAATTCAGGAATTTTTATTCTAGGATGCTAGTGTTAGAATTGTAAATGTGATCAAATATGTTTGCTTTAATCTATAATTTCTGAAATGGAGTAAAAAATGCTCTGAAATGTTTGTTTAGAATTGGATAAGATCTCTTTCGGCTCATATGAACAAGAACTTTTACTTTATAAATTCATTTCATAAGTCATTCTTTTTATTAAACACTGTATGTAAATCAGTTTATTTGCTACAATATTTATTTATTTTCTTATTTAGCAATGTGATGACCTTCGAGATTTCCGGGCTTCTCAGTGTACATCCTACAACAAAGTACCGTACAGGGGTCGCCTGTATGAATGGCTTCCTTACCAGGATCCTGAAGATCCATGCAGTCTCACCTGTACCGCCAAAAGTCATAGTTTCGTCGCCAAATTGGCTGATAAAATTAAAGATGGCACCAGGTGCAGGGATGGATCGTTGCACATGTGTGTGGATGGCAAATGTTTGGTGAGTTGGAACACACTTTTCTCTTTAGCCCACCTGATTTTTTCCCAAATTCGATTTCTGACCAAGATTTTATTTGTCTCAAGAGTAATTGACCTCTGTCAGACACCAAATGAAAATGAACAATGCTTGTATAAATGAATGCATTGAACGAGTTTTAATTCACGAGATTTTCCTTTCATTATTTACATCAATTTAGCAATATTTCAAAAACTAAAATCTCCACAGAAAAAAAACGTCTAAATATAGCGAAGATAAGCGAATTATATTATTAAAATAATATTGAAAAAAATTAAAATTTACTTTATTTTATAAAATGTTATTTTAAATTGACTTATTAAATTTTATTTTGAGAATTAATTAAGCATTTCAGAAGGTATACCTATTATAAGTTAATTAATTAATGATTCTTTCAAAAAGCCAAAATGTTTAAGAAACGAAGCTTTAACTTGTTTTTATAGATCCGAATGGAAAGTTTAACGCGAAAAAAAAAGAACGTTTATTTTTAAAGTTTTTATAAAATTTTATTTTAAGTGAGTTTCATATATCTCTGGGTTTCAGCTTATACAACGCCATAGATTTTTATAAGCTTATTTAATAAGCAATGTTAAATATATTACTTGATTTAAAATTTCATTCGCTTCAAAAACTTACAAATTGGAAATAACAGTCAACGTGATTCAAGCTCTCGAAAACAAACGCTCATTTTAAAGACTTGCCAGACGTGAATGAGAAGAAGCAAAAGTGATATCAAATATAAAATGTAAAGTTGCTAACGAAAAATGGAAAAAAGCTGAAAAACAAAACTGGGAAAATCACAATAGCCGAGAGAAAAAAAGATGAAAAAGAGAACAAGAAAACCCAGGTAACCAGGGTAAAGTGCATTTCCACGCGCTTTGGAGAAGTGGAGGAACTAATGTCGTTAACAGGAGAATCTGAATTCATATAAATAAAAAAATATACCAGGGCATCAAGATGAGCTGATGTAATGGGGTGGAAATTATTTTAGCATTATCGAAATTGAATTAATGTCCAAGATTCCAACAGCTATGCAACAATTGATGATTTTTCGTATTCTTGATAACGGACGTATCAATCGTGCTAAATTTTAAAACGCGTCGCGTAAGACGACGACAATCGAATTCTTCCATGGCTGCCACGTTCCCCAGATTTAACTCCTTCTGGTTTTCTTGAAGGGGTTGCATCAAAAATAACGTGTTCGTGCCCTATGCCATGTGATTTAACAGAATTACAACGAAGGATAACAACCGCATTCATTGCCTTTGATCAGGACAGAGTATCGTAGTATTGCAGAGAGTGTTAGGAATGAAAATTCAAAACTGAAGTTTACCACATCACCAAATGTTCATATATTAAACATTTGTGCTAAAAAATAATAAAATTTTTTACTGGGAGAAGTAAAATTTGTTGTTGGTAAAAATTGATGTTCTAGTATTGGTTTATTATAAGCCATCTAAACCCCGGAAGGAATTATGGCACACCCTATGTGTTAGGTAAAGTAACAAATTAGGTAAAACTAAGAGTAATGTAAAACATTAAGACATGTATAAAGTAATGTAATGGCAGTTTGTTACATAAAATATTTAGGAAAATATTAGGTTCCAAAATATATACTAATCAATGTAAAATTAGGCTATGTAATAAGTTAGGAAAATAATTAAGTAATATAAAATATAAGCCATTGTAATATTAGTCATGTGTACAATTTTAGTCATGTGGAAATATTAGCCACGTGGACAATTTTTCATAATGTCTATCATCAGTTAAAATATTGGCTAATTAAAAAGATATATTATAGAACTATATTTTAATATTGGACCTCAGGTAATCAATACTAATAGCTATATTTTTATTATTTTCTTTTTGAATAGCCTGTGGGATGTGATCTTACTCTAGGATCGGACAGAAAGGTAGATGAGTGTGGTGTATGCGGGGGTGACGGATCCACCTGTCGGCGCCCTGTTTATGTGTGGGGCAAAACACCTTTCTCGCCCTGTTCTGTGTCATGCGGTGGGGGTAAGTTCTTTACTTCTTTCTTTGATCAATTAACGAATAGAAACTACAATTTAATGATACCTCATTATCGTTTAAGTCGTGCCCATAACATGTGGATCAACATATGAACAAAAACTCACTTAACTTATTTATCCCAGTGTGGGTGTATAAGTCTTAAATTTGATAAATGAAACGTAAGGAGTGAATTATGTTTTAGCTTGTCTTAGAGATAATGATCCGAAAATGAAGTGTGTGTCGTAGTTTAAATAAAAAGTAAATATAGACAAGAGAAAACTTTATCAGTCCAAGCGACTTGGGTGGTATTGTTTGTTTATAACTTTTAATGGTTTCTTTAAAGCATTTAATTTTTCGTTATTAGGGCACATTTGAATTGTCTTTAATGAACTTGGGTATACTAATGCATTTATTTACTTTAGAATTTAATTTTTAAGTTCGTTTCTTGTAGTAAATAGTAGAGGTGACTTAAAATTGTCTGACGAACTTTCCCCCTTTGATGCAGATGAAATACCGGTGTCCGTTTTATATATTTTTTCTGACTCTAATTTGAAGTAAAATGTATTTTGGTATTTTTTAATTATAAAAAACGGTCTGATAGTTACTAAAAAAGTTATTAGATTGCTCGAATTATATTGTAATTTTTTTCTCCATCCAAAAATGTATCAATAATAGATTTTCTTTATAAATAAATTAAAAAAACTTTAACGATGAATATCGTTTTCTCTTAGATCTAAGTAGGGTAAACCAACCAGTGAAGGAACATTTCATATATATTGATTAAAAATAAGAATTTGAAAGCTTTTCTGTAGATTGATTGGTAACAATAGCTTACTGCCAAACAATAGGAAGTCATCTAGCAATGTTTTGGATTANTGAACGAGTTTTAATTCACGAGATTTTCCTTTCATTATTTACATCAATTTAGCAATATTTCAAAAACTAAAATCTCCACAGAAAAAAAACGTCTAAATATAGCGAAGATAAGCGAATTATATTATTAAAATAATATTGAAAAAAATTAAAATTTACTTTACTTTATAAAATTTTATTTTAAATTGACTTATTAAATTTTATTTTGAGAATTAATTAAGCATTTTAGAAGGTATACCTATTATAATTTAATTAATTAATGATTCTTTCAGAAAGCCAAAATGCTTAAGAAACGAAACTTTAACTTGTTTTTATAAATCCGATTGGAAAAAAGAACGTTTATTTTTAAAGTTTTTATAAAATTTTATTTTAAGTGAGTTTCATAAATCTCTGGGTTTCAGCTTATAAAACGCCATAGATTTTTATAAGTTTATTTAATAAGTAATGTTAAGTATATTACTTGATTTAAAAATTCATTCGCTTCAAAAACATACTAATTGGAAATAACAGTCAACGTGATTCAAGCTCTCAAAAGCGTGAATGAGAAGAAGCAAAAGTGATTTCAAATATAAAATGTAACGTTGCTAACGAAAAATGGAAAAAAGGCGAAAAACAAAACTGGGAAAACTACAATACCCGAGAGAAAAAAAGATGAAAAAACAGAACAAGAAAACCCAGGTAACCAGGGTAAAGTGCATTTCCACTCGCTATGGAGAAGTGGAGGAACTAATGTCGTTAACTGAGGAATTTGAATTCATATGAATAAAAAAAAGATACCAGGGCATCAAGGTGAGCTGAAATAATGGGGTGGAAATTACTTGATCATTATCGAAATTGAATTTATGTCTAAGATTCCAACAATTATGCAACAATTGATGATTTTTCGTATTCTTGATAACGGACGTATCAATCGTATTATAATCGTGCTAATTTTTAAAACGCGTCTAGTTTGTCCGAAGTTGCCAAAGTCGGACTGACAAGATGTGTGGTGAATGTCCAGTGATCATCAAAACTAATGGGATGTTTAAGAGACTTAATTTTAATTGCTTGGCGTCTTGATTTTCTAAATAACGAGCGTGAGACGACGACAATCGAATTCTTCCGTGGCTACCACGTTCTCCAGACTTAACTCCTTCTGATTTTTTTAAGAGGTTGCATCGAAAATTATGTGTTCGTGCCCTATGCCATGTGATTTAACAGAATTACAACGAAGGTTAATAACCGCATTCACTGCCTTTGATCAAGACATGTTGCACAGAGTGTAGTAAGAATTAAAATTTAAAACTGAAGTTTACCATATCACCAAATGTTCACACATTAAACATTTATGCTAAAAATTAATTTAATTTTTTATTAGGAGAAGTATTTGTTGATGTATTGGTAAAAATTGATGTTCTAATATTGGTTTATTATAAGCCTTCCAAACCCCAGAAAGAATTATGGCACACCCTATATATTTGGTAAAGTAACAAAATAGGCAAAACTGGGAGTAATGTAAAACATTAAGACCTGTATAAAGTAATGTATTGGAATGCAGTTTGTTTTATAAAATATTTAAGAAATTATTAGGTTCCAAAATATGTACTAATCAATGCAAAATTAGGCAATGTAATAAGTTAGGAAAATAATTAAGTAATATAAAATATTAGTCATTGTAATATTAGTCATGTGTACAATTTTAGTTACGTGGACAATTTTTCATAATGTCTATCATTAGTTAAAATATTGGCTAATTACAAATATATATTATAGAACTATATTTTAATATTGGACCTTAAGTAATCAATACTAATAGCTATCTTTTTATTATTTTTTTTTAAATAGCCAGTGGGATGTGATCTAACTCTAGGATCGGACAGAAAGGTAGATGAGTGTGGTGTATGCGGGGGTGACGGATCCACCTGTCGGCGCCCTGTTTATGTGTGGGGCAAAACACCTTTCTCGCCCTGTTCTGTGTCATGCGGTGGGGGTAAGTTCTTTACTTCTTTCTTTGATCAATTAACGAATAGAAACTACAATTTAATGATACCTCATTATCGTTTAAGTCGTGCCCATAACATGTGGATCAACATATGAACAAAAACTCACTTAACTTATTTATCCCAGTGTGGGTGTATAAGTCTTAAATTTGATAAATGAAACGTAAGGAGTGAATTATGTTTTAGCTTGTCTTAGAGATAATAATCCGAAAATGAAGTGTCGTAGTTTAAACAAACAGTAAATATATACAAGAGAAAACTTTATCAGTCCAAGCGACTTGGGTGGTATTGTTTGTTCATAACTTTTAATGGTTTCTTTAAAGTATTTAATTTTGCGTTATTAGGTGAACTTGGATATAATATTGCATTTATTTACTTTAGAATTTAATTTTTAAGTTCGTTTGTTGCAGTAAATAGCAGGTGAATTAGAATTGTCGGGCCAACTTTCACCCTTTGATGCAGATGAGATACCGGTGTCCCTTTTATATATTGTTTTCTGATTCTCTAATTTGAAGCAAAAATATATTTCGGTATTTTTTAATTATAAAAAATTATCTAATAGTTACTAAAAACGTTATTAGATTACTGGAATTATCTTGTAATTTTTTTTCTCCATCCATATCCAAAAATTTATCAATAATTGATTTTTTTTAAGTAAATTTTAAAAAACACTTTGCCGTTGAATATCGTTTTCTCTTAGTTCTAAGTGTAACAGTTTAATAATATTGAATTGGATTGGGTTGGTGCGTATAAAGTAACGTTGTTTGTGTATGTTTATTAAAATTGATAGATTGCATAATTGGATGTATCTCTGGATATAGTCATGATTAAAATAGGTAAATGATTGAAATGTCGTGATAAAACAAATTAAGGCCAAAATATATAAAAGGGTAATTAAATTAAATTAAATTAAGGGGGATGTGATCGTTAAGGAAAGTGGTAGTACAATGCTAATGTGGGATAACAATAACCCAATAGGTTCAAAGGGTCACAAAGTGTGAGGTTTGAACAAATTGGATAAATTGGTATCACCAAATTTAGAATAAGGGTGAAAACTAAGAAAATTAAAGATTAATGATAAATACGATAAAGTCATGCTATATCCAAACAATATATATGATTCAAACAGTAAGCTGATGTTTCCAATAAGAAAAACTAATAAATTCACATTTATGCATGCCCATAACAATAAAAAAAAGTACTCACCACATACAGAAGGAAAAAAGGTGATAACTAATAGCTATAAAGGTAAAGCTAAAAAAACAATCACACCAAACTCTCTGTTCAACTAAAAATTTATTTTTGTAAAACTACTTTTCGTAACAAACAAACAATATGATTGCAACACATTTTGTGGCACAGAAAAAATATATCTTTTAAAAGGAAATGGGTGACAAGAGAATTTAAAGAAACCAAAGGCGTCAGGCATGAAGTTAAATATAAAAGAACGATTAATTTAACCGTTAAAGTAAATATGAAAAGAAAACTTAAATTTGAGAGGGCTTTTAATGTTAAAGAAAATTAAAGGTATAACATGTTGATTTTAAATTTTACAGAAATTGATTACAGCTATGGATTTAATTTAAAACAAAGGTTAAGAAAAAAATGTAAAAAGAAATCCCTCGATACAGACCGAAGTCCGCATCTCGGAAAAAAGGAACCAGCAAGAAGGAAAAACCAACAGAGAATCTCCTTATAAAAAGTGACTTAAAAATTCCTTAACTGGTATAGGACCAGAAAAATTACGGCCAATTAAATTTAAAGAGGCGGAGAGTTTGAAATTTAAAGGAAAGAGATTGGTTAGATAGCCCCCCTAAAATTAAAAGAAGAAAAAGAAAGGCGTGAATAGAGGGGTTGGTTGACTTTCCCCACAGGAAGTGCGATGACCGCAATGACCATGAGAAAGGTCAACAAGAAAGTAATAAAAGATTGCTAAATTGAAAAAAAAAAGGAATAGCGTTTAAAGAAAAATTAAAGGCTTAAGTAAAATTAGAAATAAAATTGTCACATTACATTAAGTGTATATATGTGACACTAAGTAACTGCAAATGAATGCAAATTTGAACAATTGTTTGGAAGTGAGCCGTGTTTGGAAAATTTTACCTTTAATGCAAAAAAATATATACTGGTGTTTCATCATAACGATAAATTATAAAAATGCTAAATATGATATTTTACACTTATTTTGATCTAAATTGATGCAAAATAAAGAAAAAAGTACGAAAAAGATGTTTAATAAAAGTTCTGCGTCAAAAAGTTAATTCGCAATGGCGTTTGAAAAAAAAATGAAGCCCAGTCATGTTTTTTTTTGTATTTGCAACAACAGGTAGGTACTTTATTTACGTCACACTAGGGCTGCACAATGGGCTACTGGCGACGGTCTGAAAAACATCGTTATGGATAATCCGAAGGCAAGCCATCACAATTTTGTGAGGCACTTCCTCAGTTAAGACATAGATCTGAGAGGGAAGGAAATTTTCTCCAGATCTCGGTAGCCATGGTCCTGCTCAACGACTGACCACGGATTTTTCATTCCACAGACCTTACGAGGACTACTCGATGGGTCTTTGCGGGAATCGAGGATCGAGCCCCGGCCCCTCCGGACAGGAGTCCTAATCTCTAACCACTAAGCTACCACGAACCATACAGCAATAGCATGTAACGTTTTATTTATTCGTTGATTTTCATGCGTTATGCTATTTTTACTTTCGGTATTTTTCACTGTGTTTTTTTTTTTACAAATTTTTTTGTACTTATTATTTCAATGTTTTCGTAAAGTTCATAGTTGTTTCACAATTTTCTTTTATTTATTATTTATTTCAAAATTATTTATTTTTGTTCATTTTTTTGCAAATTTATTATCTTATTTGCTGCTTTTCTTACTATTTATCGTGCTGTTTTCTTACATGCGTTTCCAGATCACATTAAAATTTAAAATCCGAATTAAGCGCAGTTTTTAAACTTAATGGCTGCATTTTTATTTATTAATAACGTTATAATAATGAAAAAGATACATAATAATAACAACATATATTATCATATTTGCGTATAAATAATGAAATTATAATAATGCATAAGTTAATAAAGTTTTCAATCATGGTGCGGCATAATTATTATCGGATAGCAGCAATAATCTAATACCCTCTTTTAATTTTTAGCTAGTCATGAATATTTTGACACAAACATTTTGACTTTAAAAGAAGAAAACAAAACATAAAAAAACGATCGACATCAAAACGCTTCGTCTCTAAAAAACAATTATGTGACATTTATTTGCATAATAGATTGTTAGTTTTGTAAAAGTTTAAACTTAATTTTAGCTTTTTCTTTCATTTTGAAAAAAGAAAAACATGGACTTTAAAAATTGTCTATACATTGTCATTTTGATAAATAAGCTTGAAAATTTGCTTCAACTTTTATTTATAATAACATTTATGATTTAAAAAATAACTTATAACAAAAAATTGTTTTTAGTTAACAAATTTTATTCAAAATTATGTTTAAAATCATGTATACGAATCATTTTAAAATATCAGATTCATAATGTGAATCTGATCGTTAGGAATACAAGAAAAATAAAAATGTGTTTCGTCTATTCTATTTGTCGATATTTTTGAACTTTATTTTAATCATTTTATTTTGAATATTTGTTTATCGAAACTGAATTTAAAAATAAATTACTTTTTATGGTGATTTATACATTTTTAATCCCTATGAAATAAATTATTTACTTAAGTTCATGTTCTGCATTATGCATCACTTAGATATATTCTATTTAAAACTGTTTGTATGATACAAATTTGTTTCCTTTAGAAATATTCTACATTGCCAAAAATAATTTTTATCACTCATTAAAAAGGTTAACTATTCCAATCTATTTTAAATACTTAACTATATTTTACTTAACATTTAAACTATTCATCTAATAAAACTGAATTTGAAAATAAATTAGCTTTTCAAGCTATTTGTAATTTTTTTATATAATTTAAATTAACTATTTACCTAACTTCATGTTGTAAAATATTCCTCATTTAGATGTATTCGTTTTTAAGCAGTTCACTTAATATTAATGCATTTTTAAATTAGTTGCTGCAAAAAAAAATATATATATAAAAAAAAATCACTTTTATTATTCATTAAAAAGGTTGACAATTCTCATCTATTTAAAATGCTTAACTATATTTTTGCTCAATATTTGGAGTTTATAATTTATTGAAAATGATATGAGTTTGTAGAATTCATACTTAATTGCCAGTAATTCATCATATTACCTAATATCAACTTTGACAAGCACATCATGTTCTTCTTTTCTTCATGTTCCATAATTCTTAAGTATTATATTTATCTAGAGTATTCCCAGAATACGAACCTATTATTTTTCATTCAACTTTAAATCTCCAGAGAAATTTTCATTCCCATTACTTTGGCGATTAAACCTTTCATTTACCTCCATTGTAACTTGGCGTTAAATTGAAAATGGCAACATAGCATTCGAAGAGCGGTGAAAGCTCAAAAGGATTCGATTATGTTTCTTTGTGTTGTGTCAAGTTAATTATACGATTGGTAAGAGCGGATGCTTAATGACGATCCTGAAATTGATATTTAGTGGTTCAAATGTTTAATAATTGATTCGGGAAAATTATTTTGTTTACTTGCAGATTGCGTCGTTGATTGGTTGTTAAAATCTCACCGTAAATTTGTTTTCCCTGTTGGAATATGCTTGAACTAAGTGTTAAATAATGAATAAAGTTTCATTGCAGCATTAATTTGTGTAAACAATAGTATGTTGATTCATTTTAAATGCAAGTTTTTAATGCATTGATTTTTTTTCTTCGAATGTTTGAGTAAAAAAAATTAAGAAAATGGGAAGTGCTTAAATCATGGTTTAGCAAAAGGTCTCATTCCGGTATTCTGAAAATGATCGATGAATTGAAAAATTTATGAAAGAAAAATGGAGGGAAATTTAGGTATGTGTGGTTTTATGCTTAGG